GAATTAATGCTTTAAACACGATCTGATTGGTCGAAGTGTGGGTCTAAAGTTGAACCCTGTCCACTGATTGGTCGAAAAATAAATTATGGAAAGTCTCAGAGCCTAACAGATTCACTGACAGATTCAACTACACAGGATGTCACGAACCTTGAGAGGGGGGTGAACTGACAGATGGCATGTGTTGATATGTACCGAAAACAGGAAGTTGGGCTAGGGTTATGAAATCGAGGGGAAAAACACTAGCTAGGGTTACTATAAGTCAAAGGTTATTACAAGTCAAAGGTTACTATAAGTCAGGGTTGAGGGTGTGGGTGAAGGGGGGTGATGGAGGGTTAGGGTTACTGGAAGTCATGGGGGAGGAGGGAGGGGGGATAGTTACGGTAAATCAAAAGAGGAAGGAAGTCACCGGAAGTTGACCATATATGGACATGACGGATGTCCCGCCCTAAGGGGGCGTGGCACCTGTCACTTTTAGTATTGCGACATTTGTGATGACTACCGGTGTATAATTTCTCTTCTGTGATCTAATCAAACGGAGAAGTGATTCTCACGCTTTACGTTCAAACGATCATTTCTTGCTCTCTGTCCCATTTCCTTGCACAGAATTGGGAAAGTGTTTTTGTTTACTCTGCTCTGTCTGCATGTAACATGTTGCAAACAGACTGCGTTACTGAACTGATTCTATTGAGCACCGACTGAGGGCACTAGAGATGACTTCTTTGACTTGTGAATGTTTTTAATAATTGTTGTGTGTATGGCATTTTAATTGTGTAGCTATTTGTAAATGTTGTATAACTTTTGCTGCCTCTTGGCCTGAACTTCCTTGAAAAAGAAGTTTTTAATCTCAGTGGGACTTACGGTTAAATACGGGAATAAATTTAAAAGAAAATCTGTGGTGGTGGTGTTTACAGCCATAATGATGATGATAGGTCAGTGTCTCAATATTTATGGATCTGACTGTAGATACTTATTAATGTAGAAATAAAACAACATAACAGATAACATTTGAATCTTCTTAAAAACAAATGAACAAGGAAGTACTTTTTAATAATACAATAAAGATGACAGTACAGAATCACATTATTCTTTAAAAATAAATCACTTTTTTACTGTGTAATTTTATTGACAGAAAAACAAGAAATGTTTTATTACATATCTTCACATGCTAAAAAAACAAGAAAATTACATAAAATGTTTAAAATGTTCTATATTTATATGAGAACCATCCATACCACACATTTTCATGTACGCTGTGCCATTTGTTTGTTCCACAAGTTTTCCATGATGGATTTCTGTCTAAAGGTCAGAGTTTTTCTGTAAGTCCACAGTTCTAAGTTCGAGTGTATCGTTTTATTTCACCAGCATTTAAACATATAACTAAAAAAATCAAACAATTTTTGCAGATTAGTGAAAAAACAGTTCATAATTTTCTTTCAGTAACTCAAAATGTACAATTAGTTTGATTAAAATAAAAATGCACAAGGAATATACATGAAGAAACACACACCATTCGACTACATGCACATTCAGAGATWAAAAAAAAAAAGGTCCACCTTCTTTCTGATGAGAATAAAGCAAGTCTGGGCTTGTATTTATCAAACTTCTTACACTGTAAGAAAAATCTGTTAAACAGGTAAATTTACCATAAAATATTGAAGAATTTTTCTGTTTTGAGATTTTACAGCCCCCCCCCCCCCCCCATTTGTTGTACTTTGCTTCATGGGAACATGGAGCTGTGAAAGAAGTTTGAACTAGTTGTTGGGCAATGCTGGACTCACTTTCAGTTGGCGATTTGGAGAAACATCATTTTGTACCTCTTTGGTAAGATAAAAATAAAAAAACATTTTTATCTGAATAAAATGTTCAGAGAGAAAGAGATTATATTGTTACAAAGTTACTGCTATCTACATCTGTTAGATGCTCCAGAAATGCTGCATGTTGCTACTGCTGAAAAACTGCAGTTAATATAATTCCATACAAGCAGCAAACCYCTGCAGTGAGAGCTGGAGATCAGGATCTGATGAAGCCAATAGGACCACATCATCTGCAAAAAGCAGAGATGTGATCCTAAAGTCAACAAAACAGATCCCCTCAACACCTCGGCTGCATCTAGAAATTCTGTTCACAAAATTTATGAACAGAACTGGAGACAAAGGGTAACCTTGGTGGAGTCCAATTCTCACTGGAAACAAGTTCAGTTTACTACAGGCAATGTTGACCAAGCTCTGACTCCGGCTGTACAGGGACCTAACAGCTTGTATCAACAGGCCTGGTACCCCAATTTCCCTAAGTGCCCTCCCACAGGACTCCCCGAGGGACACGGTCGAATGCCTTGTCCAAGCCCACCAAACACATGTAGACTGGTTGAGTGAACTCCCATGCCCCTCCAGGACCCTGCTGAGGGTGTAGGACGGGTGCTACGACTGCTCACATGAATTTATCGTCCATAATTTACACAGATTTTCCCTCATTTTGCAGATGTTTAGTACAGATTTTTTCAAAAACTCAACTTCACATTTATTTTCACCCAGAACCTCATTGAAGAACAACAGATAAAACTAAATAACTCAACCATTGCCCCAACTGCTACAAATAAGTCCAGTCCCCTCCCCTCTTTTCCTTCAGCTTTGCACTGCAGCCTGCACTGTTATCTGTGCCTAACAGTCATTTTATAAATCAGAACCTTTGTGTGAAAAGTGGCGTACACACCTTTCTGGCCCCGTTTTGTGCATGAGCAAGCTTTATAAATGCCACCCCAGAACTTTTCTCTGTAAGCCAAGTAAAGAACGACCTTTATGACCTTCAGGAGGGAGGGGACTGAGATTAACCTGCATGTCAGTTCAGCTGCAGAAAGCATCTCATGCAGTTTAACACTTCCTGAATGGGAAACAAAACATCATCATCTACAGAATAAAAGTCCAGCTAGGGCTGGGCAATATGGCCCAAAAAAGAAATCTCCGGTTTTTTTCATTCCAAATTCGATTTTAATCGATTTTGCTTCTCACTTAACGGAGTGCCTCTGCTTCAGGTGTTCAAACAGGTATTTTGTACTCCTGCTATTTGTAGCAAAAGCCTTCAAACAGATTTTGCAGGGAGGTGTTCGTTGCTCGAAGTCCGAGGATGCAAAACCAAACCAGTTCCAGAAAACTGAAGAAACACTGCATTTTTTGAGAAGTAGATCCTCTTTGCTAGCTGCCATATTGTCATGTACCAAGCATCTTGAGGGACAGGTGGGATGACCTCAAAACTACAGAAGCCCAAAAGAGTGCACTGGTGGGAAAATAATCTCGATTTTCCCCAAAATTAATCTTTACAAATGGCAAATTCGAATTAATCGATTAAATCAATTTATCGCCCAGCCCTAAGTCCAGTGTTTTTTTTTTTTTGGTTTGGTTGTTTTTTTTTTTTACTTTTTGGAAGCACAATGGGCCCAGGATGGACTTGCAACTTTTTTTTAATCAGCCAAAAGGAGAATCACAAATACTGAGCAGACTTGCAGTTATTTTCTTATTGAAAAGCAGGTGTCTCATTGATCTGGATGTACAGAGAAAATGTGCTCATGCTGCATGCTCACACTGTAGCTGTCTCAATGTAAGCATACACATTTCAGTAGAAAAGAGTTTGTGCATGAAGTCCCTGATCCTCACACTGCAGATGATGGTGTTCTTGCAAAGATCAACACAAAAACAGCACTGAGACATTGGGCCTCATGCAAGAACCATTCATACACACAGATTTGTTCTTAA